GGTTGGTGCAGGGTCTTACTTGCCTAATGATCCAAGCCACCGCCCTTTGTTGATCTGCTGGAGGCATCGGTGACGGACGCTGCTTCTGATTTGTCTGTCGCTGTTGAACTGTCGCTGCTTCGGCAGTGGCTTCTGTTGCTGCAGCTGCTGTTGCGGCGACTAAGGAAGTGAATGGGTCTCAGCTATATATGTCGTTCACTTAGAATAGTTATTGTCGGTTTGTGCAGTCTCAATCACACTGACCTTTAAAGAGGTTGAGCAGCCGGCTGTGAACTGCGCCAACATCTCCTGTAAGCCCGGTGCACACGTAACTCACGAAGGCAACAGGCGCACAATTGACGGGATGTTTTCAGCTGCTTCCAGATGGGTGCAATCGCGGAACGACGCGTTTTCCGATGCCACTGCTTTTCGTGCTTTTTCCGTCTGGCTAGTGGTCAGAGCGACAGTCTGTTGCAAACAGTTATCAACGCAAGTAGGGTACGCCAACACGTTATCAACGCGATCAGCCAGCCACGAGTGTCGGACGATAAGAATAGCATAGCATAAGGCATAAGGTACAGCCGCGGCCACGTCTGAGTAGAGCACGCGAGTAGCTGGTTTTCGCTCTGTGGCGTGAAACCTGGAGGCAATTTTGGGCTCTGAAGTGCTGTATCAGAAGCATGTGCTGCCTAGCTGTCAAGCTGACCACATCAGAGCCCGAAACTGCTTCGAGGTTTCGCCACGCGGAGCGAAAACCGGCTCCCCGCGTGCTCTACCCAGATGTGGCCGTGGCTGCACAACTGCAGCGGCCATGGCAGTGCAATAGCTGCTGTCGTCTATTTCAAAATACCACGAAGTTTGCTGCTGCGCTAACCCTAGGGTGATAAAATGCTCGTCTTCAGATCTTGTTTACGTATAGGTTCACATTCCGCTTTGCAAACAAATTTTTGTCCCCAAGAATTCTCTTTTTACTTGTTTTCTACCACCCGTCAGTTATTCCAAACCACGTCGGACAAATCGGCGCATGTGTTTTGGGGCAAAGCAAGTGATGAAGAGGAGGATGAACATAGCGTGCGCCAGCTAATGAGGGTGGTTCGTAGCTTACAACCAAGGGCTGGCACAAACAGCTCCGTTTCTATGGAAAAAAGGGTGCTATAGCGTCCGAGTGGTTGAGGCAATGATCTTAAAAACCTCCGGGTTTCTCCAACATAGACTCGATCCCTGGCGACTGCTTGATGCTATTTGTTTTGGTAAAGAAGAAAGGGCAATCGGTCATTTGCAAATTTTCAAGCACTGAATTGAAACAAGGCAGTAGAAGAAAGCAGGTGACATGTGGGCCTTGCCAAATGACCGGGACCTGACGATGCAACTTGTAAGCGCTTGCTTGTATGAAGTGTTTAATAGAGAACTGTGCCTATTGTTGACAGCGTTATTCAGTGAGACCTATGAGTGCAATAATATGCCACTTTCCTCTCGTAAAGTGCATACCATGCTAATCTCAAAAACTAATAATAATAATACCTGGGGTTTCACACCCGAAAACCACGATATGATTATGAGAGACGCTGTAGTGAAGGGCTCCGGGAATTCAGAACACCAGGAGCTTCTTAGCATTTTCCTAAATCTTAATCTCCAAAATCGCATAACTGAAAAAAAAAAAACTTTGACGAGTGATGTTTTACAGGTTGGTATCACTGACCGATCCATATTTCAAGATTTTTTACGATGGTCCTACCAACGAAACTTCAAGGCGGGAATAAAAGAACACCAGTTTCAGTTTCCAAATAAGAGTGATGGTCTATGATACTGTTACAGATATTTATTCCTATATTCACGCCTCAGAATATGTTTCATTAAGTGGAGAGCATTCATTTTGCTTCTATGTGAGGCAAGCACCATTGTCGCGCCTTGTGTTAACATGTCCCAATTAACATGAGAAGCAGCTTCGCCCAAAGCGTTAATCAAGGTTTGGGTGGTCGCTATGCCGAATCTCGACTAACGCCACCAGTTTATTCATATTTCTTTGCTTAATTTTAGGCATCGTTGAAAATATTTATCATCTTAATTTCTGGCTCAGTTTTTTTCTGTTTATGTTTTGTGTTTTGATTGGCTAGCTGTAGAGTTTTCACACCTATAAGTTCTGCAGTAAGAAAAATAAACACAGGGATTACTTAAGAGAGAGAAAGAGGAAGGCTTAACCAGATGCTGGCACCCTGTTTGCTACACAGCAACGGGGGTGGAGAAATAGGGGCAAGAAACGAGGTGTAGAGAGAGAGAGAGTAGAGAGAGAGCGAGAGAGAGAGCACACTATACTCAAGAGCAAACAAATAGAGCACCCTTCAACCACTAAGTGCATACTTATTAATATGCTTTGTTACATACGCATGCACGCACACAAACACGTACACAGTAGATTAGACCAGCGTGCGCTATTATCGCTGAATGGGCTCGTTTTGGTCCTGACACCTGTTGAATAAAATGCGGTAAAGGAGCACTGAAACACTTTTTCAAGTAACCATGGAATGATTTCACTGGAAGAGCTTATTGCCTCACGAATTCAACGCCGCAAGCGTTTTAAGAATCCGTCTAGTGCGAGTGGAGTTACAAATGTTTGTCGCATGCTGCAATTGCATTATCCCTTCTCTCGTCCGACGAAAGCGCTGGAAGCTAAGCAGGGAGGGATGGCAGGGCAAAGAAATTACTGCGGCTCGTGACCTTGAGCACTTTTTTTTTCTTCGAACGCGCGCCTTTTTCAGTGTGATCACGTGCGCACGCGTGGATAAGTAGCGGCCTCCCATGGCTATCATGGTAACTCAATTTTTCGGTCACAGACGAACAGATTTTTCGCTCACAACCAAAGGGGCCGACGCCGGCAGCAGGTTTTCTGCGACACGAGCTTTCTAACGCTAGCGCGTTAAAAACACGCACACTGGAAGGGCGTTCAGGCTACAATTGTCGTTCACAAAGTCCTGTAGATCGCGAAAAGGGCAGTAACGCCTAACAATAAGATAAATATAAAAGAAACATAAAGCACACTCGAGAAAGTTGAAATAGCATGGTATTCTACAGTTAGCTTGTTCGCATTTCAATAAAGCGTCCTACTCACACATTTCTCTCCGTAGTATATGGACTTTCACATCACTCCGTATATAAAGCAACGCATAGATGTCCATCACAAGGGTTTATCTAGTCCAGCATCCACTAACAAGTTTTTTAGGAAGATGTTTGCTTTTTCTGAAGGTGCATTTAAGGTCACGGTTTAAACAATTTCTGTATTGGGGGGCAGCTGTCCAAACTTGCTAGTTTCTTTTCTAATTAGTCTCCTTAATTTGCGTTCTTTACGCACTCAAAAGAATATGGCCAGCATTTTCATCTTTGTGACACTGTTAGTCCGGTGAGCTGGCAAATCTTTTCTCGACATAATTCACTGCTGCAACCATCAATCTCCATTTGTTTATTTACCGCACAAAGTAATATCGCTGTTTCCACAGGTCACGATCAAGGCGGCCAGTCCCGGTCTAATTTCTTGATCACGATCAACAATGGTCTCCGCGACACGGTCCGAACTGATCCAGATCGAGTTTGGCGCAGACGTGAGCCATATCGCAATCCACGAACGAGATGTCGATGCACGTATATCGGGATCAAGAGGCACATATGGTCGTGATTAAGAATGACCACGTAACATTTGCATATTATGCACGAGTCATTGTAAGCACAATTGTTGGCTTTCTTCATTCCGCAGCAATTAACTCGATTGTGATGATTTTCCGAGAAAGTGCAAGGCTCCACAAAACGTTGGTCAAGAAAAGACCACGACCGTCAAACATCCGGAGCCTGCTAGGATACTTTCTCATAGCTAAATGTGCACGCATTTACAATCATAAAGAGTAAATGGGATAGTTATTTAGGCATTCGTTTATTTTTAAATGCGAATAATTTCTCAGTCGCACGATGTAGGCGGGGCGCCATCCACACCACCACTGCGCATGCTCACGTTTCGTGTCGGCCCAGGAAGACATCCGCAAAACTGTCACTACCCTTCTCCTCTATCGCCTCGTAAGGCCGACGCAGGCAGCATCTGGTAATAAAAACACAACTGTTCGCGCTGCACAACCGTTAACTGGTCAGCCCGTACATCTAGGCACTGGATCGCGCGTTCGGAATTCAGTCAAGGGCGTCTTGGCTTTCGCTTGACGTTGAAGGCAACGCTTGTCCTTCATTCAATAAGTAAGATTATATTAAAGACGAAATAACAATTAAACATTCCACAACCACACCCAATAACGCAACATTCACGTGATACCCCTACCACTCTGCGACGCATTTACTCGAGCAGTCCCCGTGGGAAGATGCGGGCGGAATTTTTTTTTATTGATTTCTCGAGCTTTCACGTGTAGCGAGCGCATCGCGTTCTGCTACCTCCGTGCTCCGACACGCGTCTATACAGTTTCGCGCATTAATGAAGCATGCGAAGCCAAGGCTCAGATTTTTTTGGGCTGGCATCGCATTCATACTTTATGTGTGCCTGCCGCCGGTGCATCAACAGAATGGAAGAGCTAACCTAAAGTGGTGGCTCTTGTAACATGCATGATTCCCGAAGGAGTGACACGGCTGTTACGGGCCGAAAGCGCACCGCGAGGATAATAGAATTCGGACCTATTAATAAGTCATGCAGATAAGCAACTACACTCTGCGAGACTGTATATCATAAAAAAAAGAAGGAACGAAACGCGTGCGCGTAGGAAGGGAGAGGGGGAGAGAGAAAACACTAGGCAAATGAAGGCTTTTGTCGGCCACTTGAACGACCTTCTTGCCGTGCTCAGCCGTCGCTTCTGCACGCACACAAGTGAGCTCGGGCATAATCAAACGCTTGCCTCTGATTAGCGCCAGAAGGCAGAGGGAGAGAGATGACCACTTATAAAAGCCTTGCCTCGATGCGCACTGCGCTTCCTTCGTGGCGATCACATTTCCCTTCGCGCTGCTGGTGGACTTTGTTCCCTCGCACAAACATCGCCGTTATGGGACCCTTCTTGGCCAGCGTCCTGGCAACAATCACTTACGTGCCTTGCGCGGTGCTTTCGCTAAAGGCCGGAGAAGTATTCGTGTGCGGTAATGTACAGGCGGCCATGCATATTATTCGAGACTTGTTGAGCTGCTCTACGCACATTCACTCGTATTATTTCTGTGTGTTCCTTCTTTTCAACGTTGTTTGCTCATAACTGTAACCACTGATGAATAGTACGTAATTACCACTTTATGACCGTAAGCAGCTCGCATGTCTCAATTTTTTTCAGTTGTTGAGTCACAGTGTATGCATGCTGTAGATTATAACGTTTCAACTAATTAAGCTTTTAAACAACCAAACCGTGTATATATTTACGTGCATTATTAGCTACACTCCAGGATTTGATCATCTTCGTATTATGACGAGGGCCCCGGATGTTTCATAAACCCACCACGATGGTGCTCAGGCACTCGGCTGCTGACCCGCAGGTCGGGGGATCGAATCCCGGCCGCATTTTCGACGGGGGCGAAAATGCTTGAGGCCCGTGTGCTTAGATTTAGGTCGACGTTAAAAAAGCCCCAGGTGGCGAAACTTTCTGAAGCCCTTCAGTACGGCGTCTCTGAAAATCAAATGATGGTTTTGGGACGCAAAAGTTCAGCAATTCTTCTTCTTCTTCTTCTTCTTCTTCTTCTTCTTCTTCTTCTTCTTCTTCTTCTTCTTCTTCTTCTTCTTCTTCTTCTTCTTCTTCTTCTTCTTCTTCTTCTTCTTCTTCTTCTTCTTCTTCTTCTTCTTCTTCTTATTATTATTATTATTATTATTATTATTATTATTATTATTATTATTAGACCCCTCATCAAACGCGAAAACTTACAGTCAGCGTCAACATTCCGCGCTGGATATGTCAACAAGAGTGATGCGAAAAAATCTTCCCGTGCTGGCGTCACCATAGACGTCATCGCGCGATCGTTCATTGCATAGGGCTTCATGCGATTAGATGAACGCGCATCAATACACGCGGCTAACGCGCCCTTGATCGAGCGTGAAGCCCTGCACAATGCGGTAATGCAGCCTTGAATGAACTAAAGAACTCTTGCAAGTGCTGCAGAGTAGTGACGCATGAGAGTGCGCCCACATATTTGGCATGTTTCGCGTGCTTTTTGTTTCTTTCAACAACCAGGCAGGTTTGAGCAAAAAATTAAATGCCTGATCCTTGGCTTATTTGAGAGGACGTACAACATAACTCATTCGAGCAAGAACAAAAAGGGCAGTTAAGGAGCTTCCGCTAACTAATTAGCACGTAGTCATGCAAAACAGACATGTATGTAGACCACTAATGAATAACACGTGGAACTTTCCTGAAGCACATGGTCTCTTTGTTGATTCTTTTTTGACCTTGGTTCGGTATGTGGCATACGAATACATGGCCATTGAAAAAAAAAAAAGTTTCCTTCGAGTTGATGGTCGCAATCTTTTATATGTTTTCTCGAATTATGAAGGAGCACATGAGCAATTTTAAGGGTAATTACTTTTTATTTATTGATTATTCCTGGTTGGACTTTAACTCGTAGAGTACCCTTTCCTGGTAGGCCACACTCAGTCGACGGGCCGATTATGCCAAGGCCGAGCGTGGAGAAATGAGTGGCTCACACTGTCGACACTGCAGCTTCCTGGAGCAGCATAAGCGCCTGACGTGCACGTGGGTTTTGACGCGTTCGCATTGTTCTTGTCTATGGCTCACTTGTGATGCCAGGCAGGGAATCACGTTGTTTCAGACGTTTTGCAAGATATGAGCACTCGTAGGAATAAAACAAACTGTCCAGGCACTTTTAGTTTATAGTTTTCGATGTTAAAATGAAAAACTTACCCTACGTTTTGAGACTCATTCGATCTCTTCTCCAGGGGGTTGCTGTTCGGCCGGCTCCGAAGCTAGCGACTCTTTTCCAGCGAAAGCTGTTATGGGGTCACAACAAAGGTCGCGTGCGCCGTAGCTTTCCGTCGTCACTGCTGCCGCCACAACCGATGTCCGTAACCACTCTCATTAAAAAAAATAACTAAGAAAATACCAAGGTCACGACAGAATTTGAACCATGGTCCTCTGCATGCCAGATCAGCATTCGCCCTCTGAGCTACGCTGGTGCTTGGAACTCTGTTGCAAACTGACCTTAGGCAGGATTGATGTCGGGAAAGGACTCGCGTTAATATAAGAAATAAAGCGTTTCAGAACAACCAAGGAAACAAGACGTCAAACAATGCGAATCGCGTACTGGGAGGGAATTCGAATGATTTAACCAATTGCTAAAGCTTCGCACGTAATTCTTCGTCATCGTCAGCCACAGCATAAAAAAAAATGCACCGAATTCTTTGAAAGTGCGTAGCGAGCACCAGGTTTCTTCGAAGAATGACGAAGGATGGAATGGTCAGTGCCTCTCTACTGCCCAATAGTTATGATGATTTGTGGCGTAGTGGGTGCCCTGCAAGTTCGCTTATAGCAGTTACCCGAGGAGTGTTTAAGAAGGCTCCGAAAGCCGCTCTTCGACTTTGCTGCGCACTGCGTGGAGAGCTGACTGTTTTTTTTTTTTTTACAGCGAAAGCTGTTATGAGATAACAACTCGGGTCACGCGCGACGTCGTAGTTGTCCGCCGCTGCCGGTGTCTGTAACCACTGTCACAAAATGAAAAAAAAAAATCCACTAAAGACACAATGGCGCTCGAACCCGGGTCCGCTGCGTGCCAGCCCAGCATTCTACCACTGAACCACGCCGGCATTTGGGACATGTTCGCAAACTTTTCTTAAGCAGGCTTCATGTCGGGAAAGGAGTCGTGGTAATATGAGTAAAAAGCATTTCATAACAAAAAACAAAACAGAACAACCAGGCATCACAAATGGTGAATAGCATAACGAGTGGGTCGTTCAATGCTCCAATTCATTACAAAAGCTTGTTCTTGTTCACCTGTTAACTGTGGCGGATACCCACTTCAGGCACCATTGCCCATCGTCATCAGCCGCTGCACGAACAATTGGCACAAAATTCCTCGCATGTGCTCAGCAGATACCACGCTTCCCCTAAGAATGACAAAATATAGCACAGCGAATGCTGGTTTACTACCCTGAAATTAATATCAATGATTTTGTAGTGGGTACCCAGCAAGTGTGCTTGACAATTACCCAATGAGTGTTTAGAAAACGACCTGGAAGGCCGCTCTCCTAGCTTTCGTTGTGACTGTGCTGCACCTTCCTTGCAGGCCTGACGTTTTTGTTTTGTTTTGTTTTAGCTTCGGAGCTGGTCGAAATGTCACCAACTGAATGAAAGACCAAATTAATCTCGAAATGCAGGACCAGTTTTTCTTTACATTAAAAAGAACAAACAAAGAATGCGTGGGCAGTTCGTTTTACTCGTCTAATTATTACACGGCTAAGCATATCTTTGTCAAATATGTTTACCATTAAATGGTCCCATGTGTAATCCCAATAAATAAACAAATAGTTGACTACTTTATAGAACAGTTACCAGGGCGTGCGTGTCATCTTTAGTTTCGATTATCAAACATAACAGGGAGCCCTCTACACAATCCTGTAACTTACTTTTGGTGGGAACCTTTTAAAAATTGTGCCCAGTTTTCGAAAAAACCCACTGTTTTCCATCTTCCTTTCGATACTTACTTCTCTTTGTCTCTCTCTTTATTTTCTTTAGGTAAGTAGGATTGATGCTTTCTTCAAGAATATACTGATAACACACTTCTAATCATTAACGAAAAACGTTAATAACATGTTTACATGAATAATAGAAATAACACTCGTCAATTCTCGTTAAACGTTATTCGGCCTTTGCTTTTTAGTAGTTGGTAAAATTAGTATAGATATATAATTTCAGTGACATTCATTTTAAGTGGTTCAGTTCAGTGGTTCTCTACGAAAAGGATTTCTGCATTTTATGTGGAAAACTGGAGCTGAGTCCGAAACACGGAAAATGAATTGATTTCAGACTTGTAGCGAAAAATGCATGCGACTCTCAAGGTGATCTTTCAGGAAGGGGAAGAGCTCGAGCACTCCCCGTTCTCTTGAACTCGGTACTACAACAATACATTAAAAATGCAGTTAAAACGATGATGATTGCAGATGGGTCAGCTGCAACTGATTTCAGTGTCAGAAGTATGGAGCCATCCATGATATACGATAATATACTGAAGAAATGAACGCCCCTGTTTTTAATAGGAATCTACACGCTTGTAGTGCTCTATAAAGCAGACGCCAGCCAGTGGTTATGTCGGGCTTATCTTTACAGAAGTGAGTACTTGACTCTGACGATGGACATTTGCTCTAAACATTTTCTTCTTTTTCTCTATCCGGTCCTGCCCTGTCGTAGAGCGAGGTATGACTACTGCGCAGCAAAAGAAAAATAAGCATTATACATTGTAATTTCTGCGCTTAAGAAAGACTGTATACAGTCTGTATAAAGACTGTACACAAGTCGGAACATTTACTATAGTAAATGTTCCGACTTGTACGTGTAATGCATCACGCGTGATTGATTGCCTGTTACGTTATTTTTTCGGCAATCGGTGGAACGTAACCCGCTACTTCATTCGCAAGAGAAACCGTCACAGGAGACGCAGCTCCTAGCATTTGCGTTTGACGCGATCTATACGGTACAGCGCATCTGCAGTAGACATGGAAGACGGCAGCCTTCTAGGATGAACTTGTTTCGACGCGCATATCTGAGCACTCTGAACTCATTCCCTCATTTTAACGACAGATCCTGTACTGTCGTAACCGCCGTCGGCATCTCGCCATGGTTTCATTTTTCGTTGCTCATAGGCCTCACTCTTTATTTATAATTAGATGAGAAACAGCTTATGATGGAGCTCAACTCAGTGTGGATGCCCAACTTTACTGCGAATCTGCAACAGCTCGCCCAAGGAGTGCTACAACGTGTTCATGCACTAGGGTGCTCCGTTCTGTGTAAGGCGCTAGGTAATACCTAGTGCCCTCTTCCCCTTACACTCTCAGGAATCATGTGATGTCGTCGCGGAACGAGAATCTGCACACGCGCGATGAACCAACGCGTCGTATCCTAGTCAGAACTTTATGGCACGCGCTATAGCGCGTTCGGTCCTGCGTAAGTGTACAGTGCCTCTAGGCAAGCGGCTGTGTAAAAGCCGCGGTAAGCAAACACGGCGTGCACCCCCTGTGCCGCTTCACATCACCTCCTGGTTCCGTTAAGCGGGAGATGGTGTGATATTTTTTTAGTTATCGGCTATGAGTAGAGCTCGCTGATACTTGCAAAGATGAAACGCACATAAACACCCAAGGGAGTGCCCTCCGTCCTAGCTCCCTGGGTAAAACATCGGACGCGAAATTCGAAATGTGTTGCTTCCGATCTGACCAACGGAAGGAAGCTTCTTCTTTCAAATGATTTAAATTTATGTCGTAATCACTACACTACAGTTCAAAACAACATATGATATCCCCTGTAATTTCCTTGGATTATTTGTGTCTCCATTTCCATGGACGATCTTTCTGTAATTTATCTGACACTATCGTGAGACATTGTTAGGTAACTGCTATAATTTACGCTTTTGACTGTAGTAAACGTAATTCTTATCAGTTACTTTTTTTTCTGTAACACAGACAACTCTACGTGTCTTCAACGTGATAGATGAAGGCGTACGGACTTCTAGTCGTAGTCGTCACGGACATGGGACCACGCGACACAGCGTATCTTGAATAAGGAGTCCGTCTGTTTCACCTTATGCTCCCGTAATAAAGGAACTTTAAAGACTAAAATATGTCTTGCAGTTAGGAACTGCTAATCGAACGAAGATCGTGCTTCGCTTGCCATTGTATATCCTAATTTTGCAGATTACAACGATGAACAGATAAAAGCCGTCATCAGCTGCTACTGTGCCATCTATCCACAAGAGGTATAAATATACACATAACTGTTCGCCGCTTAGGAGTTTATTTTCAGTTGTGTTGTAATTGTATACTCCGAGGAAATGACTCGATTATCAGACAGGGCGGGTATTTTTGTCACTCATGTTCGTATAAAATCCGCAAAAAATAATATTGTCAAGCAAGAAATTTTGACTCGCAAAAAAGCACCTCGACAATGATTTTTTTCAATATTTAATGAGCCACCCTGAAAGTGCATTAGTGAAAAACAAGCCCTAATGCTTCGAAAAATTAATTGTACACGTTTTTGTGTTTTTTTTTCATGTCCAGTGGGTTGTAATATTATGTTTGTTCGTTCTCAATCAACTTCCTGAAGATAATTGATTGATTGATTTGTGAGGTTTAACGTCCCAAAACCGCCATATGATTATGAGAGACGCCGTAGTGGAGGGCTCCGGAAATTTTGACCACCTGGGGTTCTTTAACGTGCACCCAAATCTGAAACTTCCTGAAGATAGAACAGCGTTATGTTTTGGGAGTGTTAATCAGCACGTACAGGAAAACCTATTACAACATGAAAATTTCGCCCCCCTTCAGTGCTCGTCTCGACGAATTATTTGACATAGGTCCATACTAGTATTTTGGAGAGCGTAATAAATTTGCCCAGCTATCTGTGCTTTTAAAGCTGACATAGACGCATTCTGTACGGCACGACTACCTAGGTTCTAGTTTTAAACGATTGGCCGCACTGTCTTGAAATTGGCACACGCGAATGTCTATTTCATGCTGAAATATCGAGCTTTGCAAACCAATTCAACGCACCTCTCAAATTTTTCTCTTATGTGAATCAACTATTTCAGGACTTGGACCTTATATGATTGCCGCCCGGTACAAGACGGTGGGCAATACTACTTTCGAGCTGTTTAAGCGTTTCTGTAAACGTCTCCCAGCAGTGATGTACCATTTCGTAAGTGTGACGCATTGTTCAGTGTCGTGCTGGCTCTTATCGTCACATTGTTTTCCCTGGCCCGCACTAGATCTCAGTCTACGACTGACTCTTCTGTCAATGTTCTGAATGCTACAGCATGGCATTCCCAGCCTCTATGAGGGCACTCGTGTTTGCCTCTTGCAATCATTTTCTGTGTTTATTTTTACTAATATATATATGTTATTCGAAGCGTTATTCGAAGGTCGCAGGTTCGGACCCTGCCCACGGCGAGTTATCTTTTCACCCACTTTTCTTTTTTCTCATTTACATTACAATTGGCCTAATAGCTTCCCCTATACTTTCCTGGCCATTATTGTCTGTTAGATCTCATTAATATTGTGTAAACACAAAAAACGAGCCCTTATGTATACAATTGTTTCCATTATTCATTAACGAGGGTCTCGTACAGGCAGACTTGGTGCCTTTAGGTTGTATACGAGGGACAATTGGTCAGCTGCCAGTTAGTAATAAGTTCACTTGCTACGTGACTCCTAAAAGGCTCATAAAGAGTGTGCCACACTCACCGCCATGGCTACTAGTGGCGCTGACTGACATTCCCACGTTTGAATTGACATAGATACCCAATAAAGTGGCTGGGGGGATAGCTGTCGTGGTAACTCAGTGGTAGAGCATCGAACGCGTTATTCGAAGGTCGCACGTTTGGATCCTGCCCACGGCGAGTTATCTTTTCACCCACTTTTCTTTCTTCTCATTTACATTGCAATTGGCCTAATAACTTCCCCTATACTTTCCTGGGCATTATTGTCTGTTAGATCTCATTAATATTGTGTAAACACGAAAAACGAGCCCTTATGTATACATTTGTTTCCCTTATATATATATATATATATATATATATATATATATATATATATATATATATATATATATATATATATATATATATATATATATATATATATATATATATATATATATTGCTACATGCATGCATATTGATATTCTAGGCGACGCACGTGTGTTCCTGACGAGAAAGACGAAGAGTTGTCTCCTCTCGATCGCTGGTGAACCGGGCACGCCATTACCGCTAATTTTGAATATATCTAATCCCCAGCCTCGTCGTTACGGCGTCTCTTCTTTTCCGTAACATATTTGGTGGAGGTGGAACGTTCCCCGTCTTCATCACGAAGCTTCGCAGTGGCCGCACCGTTCAGTCTCCGGCCATGGCTACCAATGACAACAGCCCGTCAGCGTCTCCATCTGTAGTAGCTCCAGCCACAACATACCTGACGATGCCCACCCCCCGTGATCCCGGTACATTCTCCGCACAACCTGGGCTCGACGTCGACTACTGGCTTCGTATGTACGAGCGAGTTAGCCACACACACCGATGGGACCCTACCATGATGCTCGCCAACGTAATATTTTACTTGGACGGCACCCCACGGGTCTGGTTCGACGCCCATGAGACCGAGCTCACCAGCTGGGATACCTTCAAGGAGCGACTACGCGACATCTTTGGGGACCCGTCCGGTCGCCAAATGGAAGCTCGAAAAGAACTCGCCACTCGTGTGCAGTCGTCAACAGAGTCGTATGTCTCGTACATACAGGATGTGCTCGCGTTGTGCCAAAAAGTCGACGAGCAAATGACAGAGAGTGACAAGGTGGGCCACATATTTAAGGGCATCGCGGACGACGCCTTCAATTCGCTCGTCTACACTAACGTCACGACCGTAGACATGACTATCAAGGAATGCCGCCGCTTCGAAATGGCCAAAATCCGCCCTGTTCTGCCTCAATTTACGCGGCTACCAAACACGGCTGTTACATCCACTTGCACCGATCTCGGTGCCGCACCACCCATGCAGGACAGCGTGACACGAATAGTTCGACAGGAGCTTGAGGCGTCAAGTCCGGCACCATTTCCTCCACACCCGCTCGACCATGGCGCCGCACAAACGCCTCCGCCGGTCTCCGTTATTCAAGCCGTCGTGAGGCAGAAAATTGCAAAGCTTGGTTTTCCTGTGGCCTGCTCTGTCTCCTGACCCGTCTCCAGACCAATGACAACAAATGCACCATGCCATGACTTACACTTTATTCCGTGATCCCGCAATCCGGCAGAATGCAGAACTGCAGACGACAAGCCGATCTGCTTCTACTGCCACCGAGTTGGCCATATCTCCCGCTACTGTCGCAGCACTTGGACGCCCTCAAACTGGAGCCAATTTTCCTCTAATCGACCATACGAGGACTTCCGTTGGTATTCGCCCAGTCGTGTGTAACCTTCTTCCGACATCCCCAACAGCCGCTCCACTGCTCGTTCGCCGCCACCTCAACGCCGCCGTTCCCCATCGCCCCAACCACGCCGTTATCTGTTGCCGGTCAACTATGGATCCTCTCAAACGGAAAACTAGATCATGCAGCTCCGGGAGGTAGTGCTGCATCACTTGCGAATGATTCAAATCCTTCATTGACGCTCCCCACTGATACGAACTTGATTGAGGTGTATGTGGACGGTATTTCTTTGACGGTGTTAGTCGATACTGGAGCTCAAGTGTCCATAATGAGTGCTCATCTGTGTCGCTTGCTCAAAAAAGTCCTCACGCTTGCAGCAACTAAAGCCCTCCGTGTCGCTGATGGTAGAACTGTGGCCATCACTGGAATGTGTACCGCTCGTGTTAGTATTGCCGGCCGCCATGTTCCCGTTTTATTTACGGTGCTTGAAAATTGCCCCCACGACCTGATCTTCGGCATGGACTTCCTATCGACGCATTATGCCCTCATCGATTGTGCCGCCGGTACTCTCTGCCTAGAACTTCCTCTTCTCCCGGATTCTCACTCTGAAATCCCGAACAGCTTGTGCACCACTGACTTCTTCCGGATACCGCCTAAAGCTCTCACATTCATCGAATTGGCAACACCCTCTCCCGTGCTCGATGGTGCTTATATCGTGACGCCGATTACTGATGTTCTCCTGGCGCGTGACATTACTGTCCCACACTCTGTCGTAAGCATGGCATCTAACCGAACATATTTACCTGTTATCAATTTCGGTTTCATAAAACAAGTGCTACCCCAAGGAATTTCGGTCGCCACACTAAGGCCCTTATTTGACGACCACGTCACCTGTTTTACGGCAGACGTATGTCCCGAGTACCCACATCACTCGCAGGATGCCACGTGCCTCGATGTGACCTTACGCTCCATGATCACCCCGGACCTCAAACCTGAGAAGTCAACCGTGCTATGCCGCCTTCTGGCTTCATACCGCGACATATTCGACATCGACCACCGTCCACTCGGCCAGACTTCACTCGTAAAGCACCACATTAACACAGGTGATTCTCATCCCATTCATCGGCAACCATACCGGGTGTCTGCCACCGAGCGTAAAATAATTCAACAAGAAGTCACCAAGATGTTAGCCAAAGGAATTATTGAACCTTCTTCGAGCCCTTGGGCGTCCCCCGTTGTGCTCGTTAAAAAGAAAGGTGGCACGTGGCGCTTCTGCGTGGATTACCGTCATCTGAATAGAGTCACGAAAAAGGACGTTCACCCTTTACCCCGCATCGATGGCGCTCTCGATTGTCTCCACGGCGCCCGATACTTTTCCACAATAGACCTACGTTCCGGCTACTGGCAGATTGCTGTCGACGAAAAAGACCAAGAGAAGACTGCATTTGTAACTCCGGACGGCCTATATCAGTTCAAGGTTATACCATTTGGGCTATGCAACGCCCCAGCCACGTTCGAGCACATGATGGACTCTCTGCTACAAGGATTCAAATGGTCAACATGTCTTTGTTATCTTGACGATGTCGTTGTATATTCCCCAACATTTGAGACCCATCTTCAGCGTTTGTCAGCTATTCTCGACATATTCCGCACTGCAGGCCTCCAATTGAACTCGTCGAAGTGCCGCTTCTGACGCCGGCAAATTACAGTGTTGGGCCACCTTGTCGACGCCTTTGGTGTACAGCCGGACCGCGAGAAAATTCGTGCAATCACCAGTTTTTCTGTACCCCAGTCAGCCAAAGACGTCCGGAGTTTTGCAGGACTTTGCTCCTATTTCAGAAGGTTTGTGAAAGATTTGGCAACCATCGCTCGACCCCTCACAGAGCTTCTAAAGAAAGACGTCACATTTACGTGGGTTACCGACCAAGCTGCTGTCTTTTCTCACCTAATCACGCTACTGACGACTCCACCCATATTGGCTCACTTTGACCCATTCGCTCCGACGGAAGTTCGAACCGATGCTAGTGGTCACGGAAACGGAGCCGTGTTAGCCCGGCACCAACGGGGACACGACCGAGTTGTCGCCTACGCTAGCCGCCTCCTCACAGCTGCTGAGCGCAACTATTCTATTACGGAGCGTGAATGTCTTGCTCTTGTTTGGACAGTCTCAAAGTTCCGCCCATATTTATATGGCACTAATTTCTCTGTAATAACTGACCATCATGCGCTATGTTGGCTTACGTCACTGAAGGATCCTACTGGCCGGCTTGGGCGCTGGGCTCTGCGACTCCAAGAGTATACTTTTACGGTGACGTACAAGTCCGGACGCCTACATAAGGACGCAGACTGTCTGTCGCGCTACCCGGTCGCTGAGTCGAGCACTATGCATGACACCGACACCGAGCCTTGCGTCTTTTCCCTTTCGCAAATGACATGCATCGGTGACGAGCAGCGCTATGATGCGTCCTTGCGTGCTATCATTGAGCGCCTCGAATCACCATCTTCCAGTCAGTCCGATCAATCATTCGTGCTCCACGATGGTGTATTATACCACCAAAGTTTTGAGCCGGATGGACCGGCTCTGCTGCTTGTCATTCCGAAACACCTTCGCTCGGAAGTTCTACATGAACTTCATGACCTTCCGACTGCTGGTCACCTTGGTGTGTCACGCACTTACGACCGAATACGCCGACGCTTCTACTGGCCAGGGCTTGCACACTCAGTCAGAAGATACGTTGCAGCTTGTGAGAAATGTCAGCGCCGCAAAACACCATCGACACTTCTCGCCGGACGCCTTCAGCCACTTGATATTCCGTCAGAACCGTTCTTCCGCGTTGGCGTGGACCTACTTGGCCCTTTCCCCTTGTCTTCCTTGGGTAACAAGTGGATAGCCGTCCTGCCACCCCGTTGCCTTCATGTGCCCAACAGGCTACCGATATTGTACATGTTGCGCGCTTGAAGCCCTACAACTCTCCTAGTGACGTTGACATCTAAATGCGCCGAGACGGCGCTTGCGCCGCCGGGAGTCATGCTACATGCATGTATATTGATATTCTAGGGGGCGACGCACGTGTGTTCCTGACGAGGAAGACGAAGAGTTGTCTCCGCTCGATCACTGGTGAACCGGGCACGCCATAACCGCTGGTTTTCAATATATCTAATCCCCAGCCTCCTCGTTACAGCGTCTTTTCTTTTCCATAACGTATTATATATATATATATATATATATATATATATATATATATATATATATATATATATATATATATATATATATATATGGGATATGGCACAACGGGAGCGTTGTCAACAAGGATAAATATATTTATTTCCCAACAGTTTCGGGAGGGGTCCTCATCCCCTGATGAAGGGAGGACCCCTACCGAAACTGTTGGGAAATAAATATATGTTGACAACGCTCCGTTGTGCCATATCCCATACCTTCACGAAGACTAACTGGCCCATTGAATTATTACTCCCACTATATATATATATATATATATATATATATATATATATATATATATATATATATATATATATATATATATATATATATATATATATATATATATTGAAGAGATTTATTAGCCGTTAAGGACAGCGACGAAACAGCGTGAAGAACCGTCTAGCGATCGGCACAGCAACGAACCGAAGCACGAGCCGATGGAGCCGGGCGTTGGCGATGCTGCTTGCTGCAGGCACATCTTCTTCTTCACAATCGCCCCCGCTGAAAAAAGAGCCATCCTGGCGACCTAAAAAGTTTCAGGGAGAGGCTCATGATACGGTTTCAGGCGGGAAACATGGACGATGTCAAGTGAACGCCGGCGCACGTCATCTGATCGGGAAACTGGCTCAATTAGGTAAATAACCGGAGAGGTTTTCTCTAAAACGGTGTAAGGCCCCTCGTACCGGGGGACAAGTTTCGATGAGAATCCCGGAGTTTGGTATGGGATGGCAAGCTACACGAGAGACCCTGGGGCATAGCTGGGATCCGGAAGAGAGGTGCTACGGTTTTCTCTCTGGCGATGCTGCTCTTCCGAGGTGAACGCACGGGCGAGCTGGCGGCACTCTTCAGCTTGTCGAGCAGCATCGGAGATAGGTAGACACTCGGAATCATCAGGACGGTAGGGAAGTGGAGTATCAATTGTATGGGAAGGGTCGCGTCCGTAATGAAGAAAGAAAGGTGAAAATCCCGTGATTGTCTGTATTGCAGTATTATATATGCGAATGTGACGTATGGGAGAACACGGTCCCAGTTGCTATGATCAGATTTCACGTCACGTCATTGAGAGCATATCACCCAGCGTGCGGTTAAATCGTTCGTTCCGTTAGCCCGTTAGTCTGCGGGTGGTGTGCTGTCGTTTTCCGATGAATGACGTGGGGTTCCGAAAGCAGAGCTTGGACGACCTTGCAGAGGAAAGCGCGGCCTCGGTCACTAAGGAGCTCTCGAGGTGCGCCATGTCGAAGGATAAAGCGACGTAAAATGAAAGAGGCGACATCCTGAGTGGTAGCGCTCGGCAAAGCGGCTGTTTCGGCGTAGCGTGTTAGATGATCGACCGGCTCTATAATCCACCGATTGCCATCTGGTGTCAATGGAAGGGGGGCGTAGAGGCCAACGCCAACGCAATCAAAAGGCTTGACAGGGCATGGAAGTGGCTGCAATTCACCAGTCGCACGTAACGGTGTTGATTTGCGTCGCTGGCAGTCAGGACAGCCCTGCACGAATTTGCGTACAAAATTTTACATGCCGCGCCAGCAATAGCGATGGCGAAGGCGTTCATATGTTTTGAACACCCCGGCGTGGCCACATTGTGGATCGTCGTGAAGAGAGGCGCATACTTGCGATAGTAAAGTGCGTGGAATGACCAGTAAACACCAGTGGCCATCGGGAGCGTAGTTGCGTCGATGAAGAAGTTGATCGCGGATGGCGAAATGGAAAGCTTGACGTCGGATTGATCGAGATACTGGAAGTTCGGGCGTGCCAGATAAATATTTGATAACAGAGGCGATCCACGGGTCACGACGTTGTTCGGTGGCAATTGAGTCAAGATTTAACGATGACAACGTCTGGGGGCACGTGTTTCCGCACGTCGGATCTGGTGGCAAAGGTGAGCGGGACAGGGCGCCAGCGTCAGAGTGTTTGCGTCCGCAGCGGTATACGACGCGAATGTCGTACTCCTGGATGCGAAGTGCCCATCGCGCAAGGCGGCCAGAAGGGTCTTTCAACGTGGAGAGCCAGCAAAGCGCGTGGTGATCAGTTACTAGATCGAACGGGCGGCCGTATAAGTATGGCCGGAACTTTCCAAGCGCCCACACCAGAGCCAAACACTCTTTTTCTGTCACGCTGTAATTAGTTTCGGCTTTCATCAGACTGCGGCTAGCGTAGGCTACAACGTATTCTGAATAGCCGGGCTTTCGTTACACTTATAGCGAACTTGTCGGGTCATATAAGTGTCAAACTGCAATCCGCATATATGAGGCGCGAAGGTAGGAATATTTCAACGGCCCGAGGGTTCTTCGACGCGTAGCTGAATATGATCACAGCCACTTTTTCGCATTTCACTCCTACCGAAATGCGGCCGCCATAGTCGAGCTCTTCGACTCGAGCTCGGGAGCGGAACACCGCAACCACTGGACTAGTGCGATGGTTTGCTTACAACACAGTTTTTTCGCTTAGTTGCATGCCCGCTGGCAAAACAGACGGCGCGCGGAACCAAGGAAGCCGAGCGAGTGTCTTCAACTCATCCCGCCTCCCGTGTCTTGGCGTTTCAAACAAACGTTTACCCTAGTAAACGCAATACCAAGGTTGCGATTCAGACCGTCTTTCCAGCACTCACGTCGACGCCTGTGTTTCAGCCTGGTCAACGCCGTGCGCACCGCTGCTGCTTCGCATCCCATCATGGTTCTCTTCTGGAAAATGGTCCATAGTTTTTTTTTTCACTGAGCTTGCACGGCAGCGATCAACCGCAGAAATTCTTTGCGAACCCATAAGGCACAGCAGAATACTCTTGCTATTGTCGTATATCTGTTGTTCGTTTCTGATCGGTGCTCAACCTCTGTGTATCTCTGTTACTCGTCACTCAGGTGTTGGCCCCTCTTTTTGCTAGTATCCATGTTCAAGAGCAATTGTGACGAACGCTCAAGCACGTTTGTTTGCCATGGCGCTTGGCATATTTTCCTTACATTTTACAGAGAACCATAATAAAGGGCCTCGCAAGGGTAAGCTGCGCACTGGGGCACTGGTGCTGTGTACAAGTGTACATGGAACATGCTATTGCACTTGAAAGGTTACAGGTGATCGAATGCGTCACAGTATGCGAGTCCGAGAAACGTATGCCGCATGCAAAGGTGTTGGCGTGACGCAGATAGTATTCTGCTTACCTGCACGAAAAGTGGCATTCATTTTTTTCATCACATTGCCTTAGACTCGTTTACGTTTTTTAGGGGCGAAGCTCCTTAGGGCGTGGGCTGTGCGTCCCCTGTAGCCTGTATGTAGCCACCTCTAGTTTAGTTCTTGCAGTGTTCACTAGATGGCGGTACCGTCCCCTGTATGTAGCCACCTCTAGTTTAGTTCTTGCAGTGTTCACTAGATGGCGGTACTGTCTCCTGTATGTAGCCACCTCTCGTTTAGTTCTTGTAGTGTTTACTAGATGGTGGTACTTGTAGCTGATGATGAAAAGATGCAAGATGTTATAAACTAGAAAGCGGTACTTGTAGTTGATGAAAGACGCGAGATCTTATAAAATAGGAATGATGTCACATATGGCGCGTGTTATTGGTTGAAGGCAATCGTTCGATTTAGTGCGGCGACGTACGCTAGGGGGAGCGTTGTAATAAAATCCGTTCGCTGCTGGCGCGCGCTCGGAGTCGCCGGATGGATAAGGCTGCACAGCGGAGAGAGCGCAAGGCGGCAGCAGCGCGCGCTCGCTGACAGAATCCCGATGTGCGAGCGCGCGAGGCAAGGGACATCGCAAGCCATCCATCGTCTAAGAACAAATAAAAGTTGATTTGTGTATATACACACACAGCGTTTCTCACGTCTTTACATGATGATCGACTGGGCGAATTACACAGAAGATTCACAGTTTACCGATGAATCCCTCCGGAGCTTCGCCCATTCATCATCATTCAACCCGTGAATATGCCGTAATTTTTTTCCTTCGTTTTCAGATTGAAACAGCCAAAGCAATCGGCTACATGATGGCAATATGTCAAAATGCGACGCTCTACCACCTTCCGCTTAAGAAAAAAAGCCCGAAATAAACGAGACATGATTGTCTGAATGCGCTTCCTGGTTGGCAACACATATTCGTTTGTATCTAACTCTCAACGTGCCCACTATTGTCCTCGCTGTTATTACCTTAGATGCCTCATCAAACACGAAATTTGATTGTCGGCTGCCTGCGGCTTTGGTAACGCGTGATGCCAAAAATCACAATGATGTGATGTCCCCAAGATAGTACGTCACTATAACGGCACAAATCACAAAAATTTGTGACTTCATTAAACGCAATCATTACACATCACTGTGATGTCTAACACAGACTTACCAGCGCAAGAAGATGGAAAACCTATAGGGAGGGAGACACACACACACACACACGCGCGCACACACACACACACACACACACACACACACACACACACACACACACACACACACACACACACACACACACACACACACACAGCACTGAACTCACGACTCGTTTCATCATTTTGAACAAAAGGCCTTTTCATGGAGCACCTCAAAGAAACAGAAAGAAAACTTGATACAATGAAGCGATGAAAAAAACCTTGTTAAAACAAGTTGCCTAAAAAGACATTCAGGCAAAAGTGAGAGCACAGTAAAAATTCTGAAAGCGTCAAGCACGCTTTCGTTAAACAAAGTGAAATTAAAAAATACAATTCTCGACTAACAAACACGATAAACCCAGACAAGTGATGGCAGCTACACAAGAAAAAAATAAAGTTATTTAAAAAACGGTGCATAAAGTAGCTATTGGAAAGGTATGCGCTGCAGATAGTCTACTTCCTTATTGGAGAAGGAAACTGAGGGCCTGCTGGTGACACATCTTTCACCAAGCCTCATGATTTTGGTTGCGTCTAAAATGATAAGCCAGGTGCAAGTTCAGCATTGTGAGCGATTGTCTCTCCCTAAGTTTTCTGTCCTTTTGCGCTAGTAAATGTTGGTTATAAAGGAACTAACTCACCATATAGCAACAGTTTTAACTGTGACATCACCTGAATTAACTTCACGTGATGACGTCATCACATGACATCACAACTGGGTCAATGTGGTTGAAACACGGAGGCCATACACAACCATGTTGTGTGCAGAAAGCTTTCGAAGGATGGCGAGAGCGCTATCAATACTTTGCCGGGTGAAAAAAAAGAAAATGGCTGTCGCCTTCAAGCCGTATTGCTTATAGAAGGAATCCTGCGAGTAATTTCTTATTATTGTTACTTTGCAGCCTTTCGGAGGTTCACTCGTAACGCTGCGCATTCACGACAATTTCAACCCCACGCGAGATGTGAAGAATATTGGCAGTGCTCGTGAAAGTAACATTCAAAGCCATGACGTAGAAGCAAACAGGCACAAACATACCGCGCATTAGAAACAAAATGTAGCGTACTGATGGGTTGAAACGGGACATTTTAGAGTTAAGCAACTCACATTCGTTTCCACCGTCTTCAGTCTAGTGGCTAAGGTACTCGGCTGCTGACCCGCAGGGCGCGGGTTCAAATCCCTACTGCGGCGGCTGCATTTCCGATGGAGGCGGAAATGTTGTAGGCCCGTGTGCTCAGATTTGGGTGCACGTTAAAGAACCCCAGGTGGTCTAAATTTCCGGAGCCCTCCACTACGGCGTCTCTCATAATCGTATAGTGGTTTTGGGACTTTAAACCCCACATATCAATCAATCAGTTCGAGTCACGTCAGCGTGATTTAAGTTCGAACGCCTAGGTCAAAGTCAACATTATCTTCGAAGACCAGATTCACCACAACATTCTTGACGTGGCCATCTCGAGCAATCGCTGATACCAGCCGTTATACTGACCCCCGTATTCAAGAACGCCCCATCACTAAACGCTTCACCTTCACTTTAGAAAGTCGATGGGAGCGCCATCTCTAGGCAGGGTAAGTCACTGCATATCAGTGATAATTTGCTGCTATTCTGGAGTAGCGCAGCGCCATTTTCAGCCGAGCAGTGGCGCAGTGCTCAAATCTGTCAAGAGAAGGGTTAAAGTTTAGTCGAGGAGCGTTTGTGAATACGGGGGTAAGAAAATTATGTTGTGTTTGAATCCATGCACCTGTGTCAAGTGGCTCAGACAGAAAGGGCTATACGTCGATAGAACATACACGTCGTTGCCTAAGACGGCTTTGTCATCCTTAACGTGTTAACCTGTTTCACCCGATGTTTACTCACCTTAGATTGGCGATAGGCGTTGAAATCTGTTTATTTTATAGGAGTACTTGCTGCTGAGTTAGTAGGTAAAGCACTCCTGTTAAGAAAGACGAACTAATTGACACACGTGCCCGAAGAATAGACAAGACGAGCGCGAAGAACGGCACTCATTCACGTTTTTTTAGCCTTCTTTTTTTTTTCCTGCAAAGACGAAGCCCATGGTAATTTGTGACACCGCCATGGCCTCATTTGTGTGGCATACTTTTCTTGCTTTGGTTGGGTTTTGATTTTCTCGAGTATCAGAGTGACAGATACTCTCCCAACGTCGTAAGTGAAGAAAGATACATTCGTCGTCTCTTTTATCGAATAGTGTGTAGGGTAAGTGTGTGGCAAGAAGAAATTACAGTCCATTGAGTCTCCTAGTAATTCCAGAAAGCTGACAGAAGAGAAAAGGGCCCTTGCTGTGCCGCGAACACGATGACAAAGGTGAACGTTTAAAGCAGTGCACCTATCTTTTTTGAAGAAGAAGGTATGGGCACCCGGAATGAATGTTAGCTCTCGACAGCCTGATAAGACGACGGCTCACATTCTGCGTGACTTTTTGTCTGTGTTGTAGAGCTATGTTTGCGAACTTGAGAAACATAAGTACAGTGACAAGAGAGCCATTATACAGCTCAATGGGTGTTTGATTACTTTAACATGTTTCACTGTTTGGGTGTGCATAGCATTTTTTTCTGTTTTGAAGCTATTTCTCTTGGCTGTTGCACTTGAGTGTATACACCTGACGAAAAAAAAAAGAGTTCTAGCAAGATACAAAAAACAAGAACGTTAATGAGGTCTCTTACGTAACGATACATCACATTTAACACGAGGCATGCACATACCCTATTTAAGGATGACTATGTGACTGCTATAGACAAAAAGGAAGTGCAAGAACGGGTGTGACCACCTGCAACAATACGATTCATGGCTGCATCACAGGTAAATACACCGTAACACACAGTGACGATTACCGCATAAATGAACGGCTATTTATTTAACTGAAGTACCCTCTCATCCGGGCGTATTAGCCTACATCGAGGGTTATTACATCTGCATGGTTATTGCATAATTATGCAGATACAAGTGCGCCATCGACTGGGTGCGACTATCTTTCGAACGTTCCACGTCGAATGCTCATTGTGCACAGCAATCTGGGCCAAAGGCTAATTTTACTGCTGCCCGCGAATTCGCGGGTTCGATTGCGGGCCGCATTATTACGGAAACAAATGCAGAAATTGCTATATGCTTACATTTAATGTATGACCTAAATAACCGGGAGTACGGAGGTGGTCAACATTTGTAAGTTACACAAGCCACTGTGCAATGCCGGATGTTTACACGCTAAATTGAAATTCTGATACACACGAATGTTTTGTGCATGACAAAACTACTATCGAGACGGTCGCATTAGAGTTTCGTTAATCGTATCGTGACTATGTAACTGTCTGCTCTAGTAGCGCTGCAGCGCTTGAGAAGTACGTCTGACAGACGTTACTTTCCCTTTACTGCTCTCGTTAACGAAAGTCTGTTGAACCGGTGGGTGCTGGCCCTAACTACACCAATGCGTAACCTGGTGCCAAGAGAAGAATGCCAGCGCACACGAACACGTGAGCACGCCACGCCTGAGTGCGCTCAATTGGGCCACAGCGCCACGTTGCGTTTATTTTTCGTCCAATTTGCTCGCTCAACGAGCCGCTCTACGTTCTCGTGCCCGATCTTTCTACTGTGTAACAGCTGTTCCTTTCTCGGCAGCAAGGGAGAAGAAAAACGCTTGCGTACAAGTAGAGGTTTTGCGACGAGCAGTGCGCACAGATTACCCGCTAGTTTTCATTAAGCAACCCTGCCACTCCTTGAACCACCATTTAGTCACGCCTGGCTAAAGCTCCATAACTCATCCACGCTCTTGTGCTGTCTAGAATGTCTCATAATGAAAACATTATATAGCCAAGATTTCGCATGAAACCACCGCTTAACCATTTCTCCAGTTTGCCAGGAGGGTGTCGTGTAGTGCGAGAAGCTCGTGATAACACTTGAAAAATGGTTAGTCTTCTGGTCTCCAAGAAAACACGAGTCTGTCTTTTCTTGGGACGCAGACGGGGGTGCAATAATAAACGATGCACCAAGTCATTTTCACGGCTTCTATTGTTACTTCAATTTACTCAGCAAAATAAAAAAAAAGGTCCAGTATGAGTCGACCTGCGCTGCATTTATTTGGACGGATTTGCGAAACCATCTCACCGCTGTTGTGCCATGCTTTCTGACGTTGCTTTGACTGGAATTCAATTTTGTTTTTATTTGCGGCTTTTTGAACGCCCTTCATATCTAACCTTCGCGCGCGCGCGCGCGTGTGTGTGTGTGTGTGTGTGTGTGTGTGTGTGTGTGCGTGTGTGTGTGTGAGAGAGAGAGAGAGAGAAAACAACAAAAAGGACCGAAACACACATAGCAGCCATATCCTGCCCCGTTCTTTTTTTATTTCTTTTCCACTGTGCTTATCAGCAAACTACACTTGCCAACTAGCCAAAACCTCTAATACTGTTATGATATGCTTTTTAATATGTACCTTATTTCAGATATTTTAATGATTTATTATATAGCTTATTTACCTTATTTAGCTTATTTAACGTAATTAGCTTATTTAGTTTCTGCGAGATACAGGGCAAACATGTGAACTATCACCGTCAAGCTCACCATATACATGTCGATGACATAATAAACGTAATTACAACAGAAGTAAACTGATGGCTTTTCAAGTAATTATTTTTATTGGCATTTCTTGCTGCGAAACTTTTCTATGCAGCAAATCAAGAAAAGTTG